GGAGCACTGCCATCCGCCGCGCCCTCCGCCGGAAGTCCCGCCCACCGGCCGGAAGCCCCGGCCCGCCCCCGCCTAATCGCCAGGGGGGCGGTGTCCGCGGCCGCACCCCTCCGACCACGCCCGCGGGAGCCTGGTTCCGATTGGTTGTCCCGTCCGTCTGTCCGCTGCAGCCGGTCCCGCCTCTGCCCGCGGGTTCTCGGCGCAGAGCCAGAGGCTGCGCCTGGGCCGCTGGGGGGAGGTAGCTGAGGGCTGGTGGGGAGAATGACCGCCGCTCAGGGTCTCCGCTGCAGGGGCGGCCCCGAGTGACAGCCGTGTGAATGACCAGCAGGTCCCTGAAGGTCCGACCCAGCTGACACATGACAGTCCAGACTGACCTCTCGGAGTGGGGTGACCGCACTGAGTGGTGTCCTCAAAGGACCTGCCAGGTGGCCCCCGACTTTGGGGGTGAATCCATGGTCGGGGGGTTGTACTGAGGGCCTGCCCCACAGTCCAGGGCTGGAGGAGGGTGGATCGGACGTAGGCCTGACGGTGTCCCTGGGGTCAGTGGGCACTTAGGGGCGGTGAGCGCACTGGTAGGTACTTGAGAAGGCAGATGTGGACATTCTGGATGAGGCCGGCGGCGAGGGGAGTCCGACCACAGCGCCCAGGCCTGTGCTCCTGCCCCCGTCTGTCCCACACGGTGCCCACGCGTGCACACGCCCCCAAGCCCCCAGGTCTCTTGTCGCAGTTTATTTCTTGCAGGCACTTCTCTGAAATGACCTCCTTGCTGTTTCCCTGTTTCTGTGTCTCCTCACCCTTGAAAGGTCCGGCCCTCAGAGGAAGAGTCTGGGGTTACTGGTGCAGAATGGACCAGAGGGTTCAGGCGAGCCTTGTGGTGCCCCCCTAGGCCTCCTAACCCCTGCTGCCCTGGCCGCAGAGTAAATCTGAGCAGTGAGCTGGGTTCAGACACCCCCACAAACACAGGAGCCTCTCCTCGGTGTGGTTATTCTAATTTCAGCAGCCCAGAGTCTGCACCCAGCCTCAAGGAGCCGTGCCCCAACGTCCTCCTGGGGCCCCAACTGGGCTGCCCAGATCCTCAGAGCCCAGCCCCGCCCCTGCCTGGCTGCGACCTCGGGGATCCCTCATCCCCAACAGGGCCGATGACACTGTCTTCTGCATAAGGAGGGGGCGACAGGTGAAGAAAACATGGATGAGGGTCCCAGCACAGTGACTCTGAGTAGCTGGTGCCCCGGGCCGTCTCTCCCAGCTACCGAGCCCCCGAGCCCAACAGCCCAACAGCCTCCCTTCCCTCTAAAGGGCCACCCCCACCTGGGCCTGTCTGGGGTCTTCTCACCAGGCTTGCTGCTGGAGCATCCCCCTTCCCAGCTGCCCCAGGAGGCAGGCCAGAGCCTGGTGTCACCACCCCCCAGGCCCCTCGCCCAGCTCCTCGCCCCCTCGCCCAGCCTCTGCAGTCAGTCTCATCCACATTCTAGAATCTGGTCTGAACGTGTTACTATGGCCCTTTACCCCGAGTGTCGGCTCTGTGCCCTGCCAGCCACCCCACAGAGCTCCAGCCCCAGGGCACACGTGGTGGGTGTTAAGGGTTCCAGCAGGTCAGCTGGCGCTGAGGAGGGCAGCCCCCTCTCCTCCCTGGGGAAACACTTCTCAGCCTCACCATTGAGTGCACGGCCTCCTCTGAGAAGCCCTTCTGCTCTTCCCCAGGCCCATCCCCATGGGCCGTAGGCATCAGACCATGGGCTCATCTGTGCCCCAGCCTGGCCAGGGGTGAGAGGATGGTGACCCAGGGTCTGAGCTCAGAATACCCCCACCCCGTCCCGACCTGTAAGGAAGACGCAGGGACAACGCAGCTTGAACGTTTAATGAGCCGGGTGCTGGGTGCTGGGGCGGGGGCTTTGGGGGAGGGGCTAGGGCACAGAGGTGCGCACGCGCAGCATGCTGGCGCGCAGGGCCTGCCTGGGGCTGCCCACGGCCCAGCGCAGGGTCACCAGGTCCCCCTTGTGCTGCGGCCTCGGCCCGTTGAGGTCAGCCTGGCCGCAGTTGCTGTACCACCAGCCGGCGCCCATGCGCTCCAGGCTGCAGCTGAGGAAGGTGCGGTCGCCGTTCATGCAGGGCGAGCAGGCGTCGTGGTCACGGTCGAGTGTGCTGAAGGCGCTGCCCTCCTGGTTGTCCGTGAGTCCCGAGCCCCGGAATGCATCCCCTGCGTGCAGGCGCCGAGTGGGCGGCAGGCCCCGGCAGCCACTGGCCTATGCCCCCCGCCTTGCCTGCTTCACCACTGGGGCACAGGGCAGACACTTGGGGAGGAAGGGGTGACCTCCCGGGCTGGCCAGACCCTGGGGAGCCCCTGTGTAAGACCCCACGCCCTAGCCTGCAGGAGCATCTCAGCAAAGCAAAGGGACCTGGGCAGGGTGGAAGCCTCTCCGCTGCCCTGGGGTCCCTGCACAAAGAGGCAGCCCAGAGCCCCACCCCCACTCACCGGCGTTCCCTGAGTACCGGCCCAGGCGCAGCCTGTACAGCTCATCCTCCGTGCCCACGTGGAAGTCGTCATAGTGGGCCTGCAGCGTGAGGTTGTCAACGCTCTCCAGGTCAACCACCAGCTCTGCCCGCCGGCCCGGCTGGGACGTCAGATCCGAGATGTGCTCCAGCCCCAGCCAGTGGTCGCCTGCAGAGTGGGTGCCAGGCTCAGGGCTGTGGCTACCCGGCCCGGCTGTACACCCCGTGCCCCAGGCAGCGGCAACTTTGCGCCTCCTACCTGTCAAGGCCCCGAAGCCCTGCTTGTACTCCTGCCAGCACCTCTCAAAGTCCAGGGACTGCTCAGTGTCCACCTTTCGACGCTGAATCACTGTCCAGCCACCATCGTCATGCATGTCACAGAGAGCCTGGTGTGGGCAGGGCTGTCATGCCGGTGGCCCCCTCACGGGCAGCACCTTGACAAGTGGCGCAGGCCTGGCCCTTTCTGTGACCCCGAGTCTATCGGAGGCCCTCCCTGAGGCAGGGGCAGCCTCTCGGCTGAGGGCTCACCTGGAAGGGTGTGCTGGCTCCCTCAGGCTGGATGATGAACACGCCGCTGGAGGCACTGGGGTTGTCCACCTGGATCTGAGAGCAGTCCCTCCCTGTCGGGAGATGCGAGCTGAGGAGAGTCAGGGCCCAGACCCCACCCACACGCCCTAGAATTCTGGGGTGACCAGAACCAGAGACCCTGAAGGACCCTTCATGACAGCCCAGTGGGGGGACAGGACCCCCCCTCGCCTTGGGGCCACAGCTGCCCCCCCCTTCCTCCATCTCTGAGGACCCTGAAATCTGTGCTCCTCCCACTGCCCCTGGACACGGCTCCTCCTTGCTGGGTCCAGAATGAACTCACTGGCCTTGGGGGTCTCTACCAGCCTGGAGCCGCGGCTGGACACCTGGGGTCCCCTCTGCCCCCCTTCCTCCTTCCGGCCCGGCAGCGATCTGGGGTCCTGCGATTCCACCTGTGCCCTGCCCCTGCCAACACCGGGCACGCGGGCAGGCGGCTTGGCCTCCCACCCCCTACCCGGGCGATCCTGGGCAAGGGACTCGGCCACCTCTCGCGTCAGAGGCTGCCCAGGCGGGACAGGGTGCCCAGCCTGCGCCCAGCAGCCCCTCCCACCCCACCTTGGGGTTGCAGCGCCACCACGGGGACCTGCAGAGAAAAGAGCCTGGTCAGGGCGTCGGGCGGCCCGGCTGGCCCAGGTCCACACCGGCAGGCCACCAGCCGCCCGCCGCCCGCCGGCCCTCACCATCACTCGCTGCTGCACCAGGGACCGGGCCCGCAGCACCCAGAGGCAGAGCAGGAGGGTGGGAAGACGCTGCAGCACGCGGGCGGCCATGCTTCCTGGGGGTGCAGACGTCGCGGGGAGCCCTCTAGCCTGCCGGCCACCTGCCCCACGAGCAGAGCTTGCCTGGTGCTCCTGGGCAGATTCGGCTGCTGGCCCTGGCCGGCCTTTTGTTCAGGTGGCCGGGCTGGCCCCGCCTCTGCCCCTCCTTCGCGTGGTGGGGCTGCGCAGGCAGGGAGCCCAGGTGCGGACTGAGGGGTGAGGGGCCATGGTGGGGGCTCCTCTGTGCACACTTCCCCTTGGCTGACACTGGCCCAGCCTCCCAGGAGACCCCTGGCAGGGGGCAGTGAGTCCCCCAGGACCCACCCAGGCTGTGCCCCCAGGTGTCCCATTTCCACACATTTTACCAAACAGGGGCTTCCAAAATTAGACTTTATTTGAATGTCGTAAGGAAAGTGCACACCGACGAGTGTGGATGATGTGGAGGATGGGCTGGGGCTGTGACGAGGCCCCCGGTCCCCCAGCCTCAATTTGGTTCAACACTGAGACAACGGTCGCCCAGGGCCCAGCCTGGAGCTGCCCGCGGCGCCTCATAAACAGGACCCGGGCGGAGACGAGGCCGGCAGGAGTGCCATGCAGGCTAGGCCCCATTAGGTGCCTGTGGGCACTCTCCAGGGTCAGCTGGCCATACCAGGCACCCCAGCAGGCTTGTCCCTCCCAGCCCCTCCCAGCCCACAGCTGCCCAGTGGGAGGGAATGGAGTCGGGGGCAGCGCTGGAGGGTCCGGCCGGCCCGTACTGCCCCTGAAGGATCCAAGAAAAGGCTTCCTCTTTGTCCCAACCAGATTTAAGGCTCGTGTTTCCGACATTTGCTTTACTGCTTTAAGTTAAAATTACCTGAGCAAAAAATTTTCAGACATTTTAAAAAGCCAAAAACATGGAAACTCTTGCCAGCCAGAGACCCATCAGGGCCCCCGTGCCCACCGTGAGGGAGATGGCGCCCACAAGCCCACACAGGAGCAACGCAGTCTTTCTCAAACCTGCCTGGCCCAGAACCCCACCGTGAGATCCTCGGGGACCAGGTGCTCCTGCCGGTGGCCTGGGGGTCCCCAGAGACCAGTGACCACCAGAAGGCACAGTGAGGTAGGGGCGCCTACTGCAGCCCAAACGCCCCACGGCCTTGGAGCCGGGAGCTGGGGGCAGAGGGGAAGGGGCAGCCCCACACCTGGGCCCTGCTGGCCTCCTAGCGTGGGGGAGGCGGTGGGCTGCGGGGAGCCTGCGCTCGGATCCGCCAACACCTCTTTATTGACGGGCTGGGGATGGCGAGGCCTCAGCGACGGGAGAGGCGAGCGAGCTCGGCCCGGACCCCTGTGGGGGCGGTGAGGCTTGCTGTGTAGACGCTGGGCAGGAGCCAGTCAGGAGCTGGTGGTGGGCACAGGAGCCTCACCACATGCGCGCGGCAGCAGGATGGCTCTGCCGGGCGCCCTCCGGGTCTGGCCCTCTTGCTCCGCAGCCTCGTGATGGATCCAGCACGCCTCTGCAGCTCCGGGCTGAGCCGCGCCACCTACTTCTTCGGCAGGACGGTGGACACTCTCTGGAGACAGTCCTGCGCCACGGGCAGTGCCAAGACCAGGCCGACAGTGCGCCGGCCCAGCCAGTAGAGGCTGTAGCCCACAAGGCTGAAGAAGGCGGCCTTCATGGCCAGCCGAGACAGTCGGCCAGAGACGGACGGCGGGGGCACGCTGCAGAGAGGTGTCAGGCTGGGTCTGGCTGCAGGCTGCTGCTCCCCCCGCCCCCACCCAGCACCCCTTCCCCCTGGGGTCCACCCCCCCCCCTGGGCCATCCCTCCCCCTCGGGGCCCAGGACCCCCCCGCCCCCCGTCTTGGGCAGAGCCCAGCCCCGCACTCACGTCATGATTTCCTGGATATTCAGCTCAGTGCTCCAGTTCTTCTCGATACCGGGCACGTGGCCCATGCCCACAACACCCACAACCACGGATGGGACGCACTTCCTGGGCTCAGCTGTGGGGGAGGGGAGGGTCACAGCCAGCCCCACCGCACTAACCCACCCCGGGCACGGGACACGGTCCTGGCCTCACCATCAGAGGCGCGTGGCAGCTCGAGGCGTCGGGCCGCTTGGCGAAGCATGTAGGTCAGGTAGATGTCGCGCTCGGAGACAATGGTGCGGTGGAGGTCGGGGAACTCACCAATCATCTCGGCCATCATCTGTTCCAGCAGGTCCTTCTGCTTGCACTTCTCCACGTCGTCCTTGCTGGGAGGGGTGGCCCGCGGGGGCGGGTGGGGCTGGGATTAAGTGGGATGACGGCGGAAGGAAGGGCGGGAGGGCCTTGTTTGAGGAGTCGCGGGGTGTGGACAGGGGGCCAGGCTGGTGGATGGGGGCCAGGCCGGGCACAGGGGCCAGGCTGGGAGTGAGGGGCTGGCAAGGCGGGGCTTGGCCACCCACAGACCCTACCTGATGGGGTCTGACAGGAAGCAGAGGCCCCAGGCCAGCTTGACCTTCTGCCAGAAGGAAAGCGCAGCAATAGCCCGCTTGAAGGTGACGGGGATGGGCCGGTCGCCCAGGTGGAACTTGCAGAAAGGCACCTTGCTGGCCTGGAGCAGAGGCCGGCGTCAGGGGTCACTCGCCAGGGGCCTGGGGCCGCCCCCGCCCTGCAGCAGCACCCACCGGCCAAGCCCACACACCTCCTTGAAGGCCTCCCTGAACTCCCCGCCGGGCGCCATGCCCAGCTGCTCGGTGATGTGGGCCGACACCTTCAGCAGCAGCATCTGCATGAGTCCAGACATGACCCCGTTCTGTGGGAGGAAGGAAGGGAGGGGGCCGGCCGGTCAGAGGTGGAGCTGCTCCAGGCCTGGGAACAGCGCAGCAGGCCACCAGGTCAGCAGGCCGGAGCCACCCCAGGCCACCTGAGCATGCAGAGCTGTGCTGGTGGCTCTGGGCAGCAGCTGGGCCATGGGGCGGGCGTGGGCTCACGGGCTCGCAATGGGCACCCTGGGCTGCTCAGGCCAGCCCTGGGTCAGAAAGGCCTCCTCCCGCCTGCCCATGTGCGGCCAACACTGACCCCGAGCGGTGTCCATCTTCTCCCCGCCTAGCCCACCCCTCCTGGCCCTTCCGTTTGTCCCCCACTGGGGCCCCCCTCCCAGAACAGAGCCCCGAGCACCCCTGCCCCTCCTCCCATATCAGGACGCAGCCATCCCAGCCCCCCACCCGGGGGCACCACCCCACCTCTCACCCGCTTTGCCTCCTTCCACCTGTCGGGCTGGGGCTCTGTGCAGCCCCCTCACACCATGGTCTCTCCTGCCTGCCCCCTAGAGCCCAGCCTGGTGGGCAGAGCCCAGAGCCCACATGCGGGGAACCCCAAGGCCCAGACACCTGGAGAACGGTTCAGGGAAACGGGGTGCAGATACAGTTTTGGAAGAACAGGAGAAGATCAGGGGAGGGCTGTGGGAGCACCCCGCTGTCTCTGTGAGCTCCCTGCCCAGACCCTTGTCCCCATGCATGTCCGCTGGGCCCCTAACCCCACGGGGCCGGGTCCCTGTGCCCTGCTCAGTGAGCCAGGTCCGTCCTCCCCCCGCCTCTGGCCCACACGTGTCGGGGTGGGGGCCGGCAGTGGCTGAGGGGGGGTTGAGGTTCAGTGACTTTCTCAATCCATCTTCTAAAACAATCAACAGAGCACACAGAGGACAATGACACGGTCATGGGCCACCTCGCCCTGAGGGCTGTGACCGGGTGTTTGTGTGGCGGGCTGGTCCTGGGCAAACAGGCGGGGGCCAGGCCGGCGGGCAGCCCGTCACACACCACGTTCACGCTGCCTGTGTGGGCAGAAGACAGCGGTGCCGGGTGGGGGCCAGGCCCCCACTGACCACATCTCGGCACTGATGCAGTGCGGAATTCACCAAAGTGGGGGGCTGACCGCCCTCCGCGTCTGCCTGGGACGGCGAAGCCAGAGGGCGTGTGTCAGCACTGCAGAGGGGAGGAGTCACCCCAGAAGAGCCAACGCAGCCCACCTGGTGACCCTCCCGTCTGTCCACAGCGAGCACAGTACGGGGCTGGCTCAACAGGCCTGCGCTGTCCACACTCCACACATTCCAGTCAGACTCGGCCCTGACCGGCTCCTGGGAAGTGATCCCAGGCCCTGGGATGTCTAGCTGACAGAGTCTCTTTGTTTACCTGGGGCCCTGGGCCCACGGCAGTCTGCACCAGCAACGTGGCTTGGTGGAGGCCCTGG